CTGTGAACACCTTGTCTGTCCTGAGTGTCTAGCTAGCACCCACGCAGTGAATGAGACCTACCTGATGTGTTAAGTTCTTGCTTGTTGCTGAAGCAGCCCTGAGAAGTCTCACAAGTCTGCTTCTTAGTGTCACACTCCCCAATAGAGCACTGGGTACAGGTATAAGTCTCTACACAAGGGAAATAAAAACTGCTTATGAAAGAATTCTATAATGTAAACTCAAAGATAATAGCTGATGTTTCCAGGAGCCTGGGAATCAAGGTGCGATGAAACCTGATGCTTGGCGCTGGATGCCTACAAAGCACAGCCCCTCCCTGAGGGGTTTATTGCCCACCATACGTACTTCAGGCATCTGGGAGAAAGGGGCCATGCATTTGCTCTTACCCACAGTACTGAACACAAAGGCTGTGAAGACACAGGTGGCCACTAGAGTCTTCAGGCTGCAGAGCTCCATTGTGGCTCCTCTGCACACTATGGAAGTGAGAACACAGGGTCAGAGACATGGAGTCCAGGCCTTTAATCTCTTGACCCAAATACCAGCCAGTGTTGCCTGCTAGCAAGTGAGAATTTATAAAGCACTTTCTTTGTGCCAAATGTGACTATTTGAGGGATGCAAAATGAAAAATATGCAATCTTTGTCATGAAAACATTCATGAGAAAAGAGCTTTCCTTCCCTAGGAAAGATTTGTATGGGGCACAGGGGTGGGGGGTCCGTCTTGCAGGTATGGAATGTATAGGATTTTCCTCCAAACCCAAAACAAAATGGGAGGACTTGATCAAGATGCCGAAATCATTCTTCTGGGCAGAGGATGGAGGCCCTCCCTGTGCTAGAAAAATCTATAGTACCCCAAGGAAAGTAGCCCTTTAGCTAAGGACAAGGGTTTCTTAGTTCAAAGTCACCTTTGAAACTGGAGCCAGTCACCAAATCAGGTCTCACCATCCCACCCTAGAAAAGCTCACCTTCAGGTACTTCCAGTCACCTTCTGAAGGGACTGCTGCCTCTGAGGCAGACAGAGGGAGAGTGAGCAAAATCCTGCAGTGGCCCTCCCTCCCTCTTTCTTCACTTACTTTTATAGGACTCATACCCAAATGGCCTAATAATCAAAGCACTGTACGTAAATACAATCCTGACAGCAAGCCAAGCGCAGTAAATCTTCTAGAAAGATATTGTGAAAACAGCCATTCCTGGCCTTCTGATCTTCTAACAGAAAACTCCATAGAAAAAAGGACTTTGTGAGCTTTGCTAACAAGTTTTAAGAGAGAAAGGGTTAAGAAAAGTCTGGAATTCAGAACCTTCCAGTCATAGTTTCTTCAGGAATTGTTTTAAGGTGACTGTTTATTAAGTACCTGCACCCTGATGGGCATGCCCAACTCCAGCGCAGCTGCTGTGGAGATGTTATTGACTGAACTGGGTAGTGCCATGAAGACTCCTAATAATACACCCCATTCAGAATTAAGTGCCAGAAGTTGGGTGAGGGGATTCCCCTCTTTCAAAGAAACAGCATGCGTCATTTCACAAATAAAAAGAAGTATAAACTCTTTTCTCCTTGGTCACCAGAAAGCCCAGAGCTTCATTTTATGTCAGCCATGAATCCTCTAACTACTCCCTCCTGTTCTTCACCCATGTTGGTATGTTCATCCTATCAACGATTCCTTCTCACCATTCAAGGGGCAATGGGAATATCAGTGTCAAGATCCCTCACATAAGATCACGGTAGGGGGTTGACCAGGGGGGTGTAGGGAGCCCTTCCATCTGTGATCTGCAGAGGGGAGTCCTAAGTCTTGCCCCTCTCCCAGCTTCTGCCGGGATTGGAGAAATGACATGTGAGTCTTCAGCTCGAAGTTGATGTCTCTGTTCAGCTACTCCTAACTCTAGCTGCCAGCTCTCCTCATCAGCTCTGTCCCTTCCTTTCTCCTCCTGCCCCTCAGACCCAGGTGACAGGACCCACTTGTATCTCTCTAAAAGTGAGACTAACAGTCTCCCTCTACCCTCTTTTTTTCTCCCTTGCCCTCCATTTTCTTGCTGATTTATTTTTAGGGCATAGACTCTATGCCAGGCCACTTATTTGAAATGGAAGACAAAGGCTAAAATGGAGTGATTCATGTTTCAGAAATCCCTCCCACAGGCATCAAAATCTTGTTTGCATATTCCAGAAATCTGGGACATTGTGGTGATCTACCTAGTCCTCCCAGGTCCTCCCTGCCCAGGAGCCACCCAAGCTTAATGCTGAAGACAAAGAAGGTGCCAGGCCCAGAGGAGAAAAACAGCAGGACTGCCATATACCTCAGAAGCCAGAAGGGGCAGGAGGGGGACAGAGGTCAGCAGGGTCTTGCCGGAATCCCTGAAAATACACAGCACGTGGGGGAAAATGAGGATGCTAACCTAGCATGTTCCCGTTGTTTAAACAAAGTTGACAAGGAATTTCAGGAAAGACAGAAACATGAGCCCAGAAAAGATCAGAAAAGCTACCAAACCCCTTGGAGGTGGTAAAGATGAAAGATGCCCTCTGGCCCTCAGTGGGAAATACCAGTTATATCTCCAATGTCATGTGGGTCAGATCAAGGTCATTATTATAGAGTAAGACCTGAGTTTCAGTATATGACATAAGTCTGCCATTTCCTGAAAACTCGCCTTCAAGGAGGAAAAGTATGGGCCCCTAACCCTTCCTGAGTCCTCCCACCACAAAATTGCAGTTTTTTGCAGGCTTCTGCTCTGATCTGTAGAGGATGAGTCTGAAGGCAGATCAGGCAGAGTGGGAGTGGGGGGCTCATGAAATTCCACAAGGCAGAGAAAAGTGGGATTCCTTCCTAGGTTGGAAGAATTCATACAGGCTCCTTGACAGGAGTATTGATGATGTGTGTTAAGAAACAATACCAGGATCTGTCTAGAAAATCCTGGCTCTGTTATTTCATGGCCTCTAAGCAATTTTCTAGCCAGCATTCTCTCTGAAACAGAGGCTGTCATTTCCCACCCGGCCCGAGGCTGGAGGGAGTCTTCCATTCTTACCATCTTCAAGGATTTGGCAGCTTTTCCAATCTTTTCTGGGCTCATGTTTCTGTCTACCCAAAAATTCCTTATCAACTTTGTTTAAACAATAAGAACCTGCCAGGTTAGCATCCTCACTTTCCACCACCATGCTGTGCATTATCAAAGATTCCAGCAAGACCCTACTGACCTCTGACTGTCCCCCTCCTGAGTCTCTGGCCTCTGAGGCACCCAAGAAGCCCTGCCACCCCTCTCCTCATTCTAAATTTCTCTTGCTCAACCTCTGTCACAAGCTTAAGATGACCGTTTAAAACTGTTGCCTGCTATTGTCTTTAAAAATAGGAAGGAGGTTATGTTGCAAGGGGAAAGACTTATTAAACATAGTGACATCAAATTTGGGAGCAAGGCCTGGGCCTCACAGAGTACAGATGAGCCCGACACACCACTCTACCACCCTAAGCCTCAAGTTTAGGTCTGCACAGGAAAGATAGCAATGCCCAAGTCTTAGGATGGTGGTAGAGGTTTGGGCATGTATGATGTGCTTGTCATGGTCAGGGCACATAGCTTCACCATCATCCACATCAGCAAAAATGGGCAAATGTTTGCATTTGGTGGAACAGGGATCAGGGGACCAATGGACCTGCTAAAATTTCCCACATATGCCTACATGAACATGAATGTTTGGGGGTCAAAAACATAACACAAGAATGCATCTTGTTTTTTTCCATCTACCATATCAACTGCAAGGACACCTAACAGGGTGACCAGACACCAGAACCCCCCTAGGCTGATGACTCCCCAGAGAGTCCCCACAGCATCTTCATTTTCTCTAATTTCTAACTGAAATTTCATCTTTCCTTCAATGGTCCATGTAGTTCACAAACCACAGCAAAACCACTCACCTATAGAAATGACTGGGCTGTTCCTGGCACATAATATCTGCAGGTTTCTCAATTGTTCTTTTCTCTCATTAAATACTTCTAGATTACATTCTTTCTAGTCCCCCAGAGAGGCCTGGTGTCTGGTAGATTCATAAAGAACCATCTGCTACTGCTTCACATGTTAGAAAGCTGTGCATCCGTATAGTTAGAGCCCTGTTTGGTTGGATTTTATTAAAGAGAGGAGGCCCAGGCCGGGCACAGTGACTCACACCTGTAATCCTATTACTCTGGGAGGCTGGATCAGGTGAATTTCTTGAGTTCAAGAGTGGGAGACTAGCCTAAGCAAGAGCTAGACTCCAGCTCTACTAAAAATAAGAAAAGCAGCTGGGTGTGGTGGCAGGTGTCTATAGTCCCAGCTACTTGGGAGGCTGAGGCAGGAGGATCACTTGAGCCCAAGAGTTTGAGGTTGCTGTGCGCCATGATGCCACATCACTCAGCCCAGGGAACAGAGTAAGACTCTGTCTCGAAAAGAAAAGGTCTCTCTTACCTTTTTCTCTTTTATGAAAGGGAACCACTTCCAACTCTCTTTGGAAGTGTTCTAAACTTTCTTTGTGTTCTTCCTAAATAAAATTTCTCCTAAAAAAGAAAAAGATTAAATAAGGTAAAAAAAAAAAGAGAGAGAGAGAGAGAGAGACAGACAGAGATAGAGAAGAGACCCATATATCCCACAACCTGCCACAGTTTCACAACATACCTAGGGCTGCTACTCTACCTCAGAAAACAGCATAAGTGATCTGTTCCCATGCCCATATGGAAGGCTCTTTACTCCCCCTACTTGTTAAACCTGTCCCCTTCTCATAGTTTGGCCGTGAACTCCCAATATGCTGAGGGGTAGGGATGAGGACAGTTTCTGGGAGAGAAGGTATGAGGCTAAGAGGCCAAACTTACAGGTTTGTCTTGATGGAAAGAGATATTTTCTGGTCAAATCTAGCTCCTTGCTGCCCTGCAATGATGCCAGATGCCCACCTGGCTTGACTGTCAGTGTGGCCTAGAGCCTGATGTGCAGACCAGAGTCAGAGAGGAGGAATGGTTGAATGGAAGGAACCCAACCGGTCTGTCACTGCCCCCAAAGAGTGGTGGCCCATCACTTCCTCTCGCAGAGAGGAAAACCACAGTGTAACTGATGTCAAACAAGGACTGCCCAACTCTGTGCTAGTTTCCTACTTCCCAGGGCAGGTCCCAAACAGCCTTTTATGGCCCAGTGAGTGCAGACTCAGCCAAACTGTGGTCACCCTGAGCAAGTTGCCAATCTCATAGTGGCACAGAGAAGAGAGGCCAGGACACTTGGTGGGAATCAGAGACTTTGATTTGTGCCTCCCCCACGCCTCTGCTTCAGTATCATCCTGCAGGACCCCTCCACGGACCCCGCTCTCTCAGGGCAGCTGAGTTCATTTTTGGAACCAAAAGAATATTCCACCCCTCATCCCAAATGAAAATGTCTCTGGGGGGTGGCCACCTTCCCTCTGGCCCCACTCCTGGCCATGGCTGAGAGAGACCCACTGCCTATTCTTCCAGCCACGGACACAGATTCAGGTTTTGACCAAAGTCTATTTCAGGTTCTCTGAGCTTCTCAATTAAGACTCTGATATAGAGGGTTCCATCTTTGTGTTTGTATTGTCCAACTTTAGCAAGAATCCTAATCCTGTTTAACCAGACCCCCCCATATCCAATCACACTTGATAACTAACTAATCAAGTTCCTCATCCTCCATCACCCCAAGGGGCTGTCTTGCACCCTGGCCTGCCTCTAGCAGGAGCCCCACAGGTCAGTGCAGTCAGAGCCACCCTTTAGGCTTGATGCTTCCTCTCAGTCATTTTCTGTCCACTACCCCAACCTTGCTCCTCGGCTACAAATGCTCACTTGTCTGTGCTAAATTTGGGGTTCTGCCTGGGCGGGTGAAAGCAAACTCCTCCTTTCCCCCCAAAGTTCTTGTGAAGATCAACTCACAGTTAAGGCAGATTAATAAAAGGAGGAGGCTTATTTGCCAGGCGCACAAGGAGAATCATGGAGTGATGACCCAGTATCCTAATGGGATCCAGGTATTCTTACACTCTTATTTGTGGGAGGGGAGACAGAGGGAGTTCTGTTTACCGGCAGTAATAAATGCTGGGGGATGGATGGACAGAGGAAGCAGACTGACTTATAAGTTGACCTGCGATAAGCATCTGGCTTAACATGACTGAAGCTAGGTTGGTGGCTCCCTGCTCTTCTTTCCTGTAGCACATTGAAACACAGGAAGTGAGGGAAAGCCTGCTGTTCCTGTGATGGGTTGTAGAGTGCAAGCTGTGAGGTGGCAGGGACCCCACTGCTTGGGAGAACATCCAGAGGACAAACCCCTTCTACTGACCCTCCTCAACAGATAACATATTTTCTCTAAGATTCAACTTTTAACGGAGCAGAAAAAAAACATGTTTTCCTTAAAACTTTAATTTTTGACTTCTTCACAGCTGCACTTCAAAGTAGTCAGTACATTTTACAGCTTATCTTGTAGATATGTAGTATTGCCCATGTTTTAACGGTCACACAGTAATAATAGATTAGGTTTACCTAGGAATTTGTACCTGTTTCTCTTCTCATGATTAAGTTGAAAATGTGTCTTACTTCCTTGAAAAACAACTTTATACTGCCTCCTTAAAAATAAAGCTGTTTGGGCACTCCAGTGCTGATGATAGAGAAAAATATCCCAGTCCTCCCGATCCCATCTTTGCTTCTCAATTCCATCTCTGCCTCTTACGTCTTTGTCTTCTGTGTTTTATTTCATCATTTCTCACTGGTCCTACTCTGGTTCATTTATCTTTTGTGCAGGTTCACAATAATGGGTCCGTGAAAATGGGTTTGTCTGGCTGTACAGGTAGAGGGAAGCCCCTTCCAAGGGCCTACTGAACTCTAAGGGCCTTTAATCCAAAATACTCTTTTTTTTTTTTTTTTGAGACAGAGCCTCAAGCTGTCCCCCTGGGTAGAGTGCCGTGGCATTACAGCTCACAGCAACCTCCAACTCCTGGGCTCAAGCGAGTCTCCTGCCTCCGCCTCCCAAGTAGCTGAGACCACAGGCGCCCGCCACAACGCCCGGCTATTTTTTGGTTGCAGCCATCATTGTTGTTTGGTGGGTCCGAGCTGGGGATTCGAACCCGCCACCTTAGGTGTACGTGGCTGGCGCCTTAGCCGGTTAAGCTATAGGCGCCGAGCCCCAAAATACTCTTTATACCACGGAGTCATGATTTGAGGTGAAATTTCCTGATCTCCTTCAAGCCTAGTCTCTTTCCCCCACTGCAAGACCCCATTCCTTGGGTCTCTATACCTGTTGCTAAGGGCTCCTTGAATAAAGTCTTCCTTACCATCTTCTACAACACTGGGTAATTTTTTCTCTTTAACATCACTCACCTGCCTCTCTGCCCCTACGTTCCTCCCTCAGGAAAGTGGGATAAGACCTGTACCTTTCTTCAGGTTTGTGGGACAGTCACATGAGCTCACCTGCTCCCTGAGAACACCACCCAGCTCCTGCACAGACTATCCCTGTGTCTGTTCTCCTAGCTCTTGAAGATCAGACAGCGTTTCTTATAGGGCATTTGCTTCCTGGATAGGCCTCTGGACTGTTCTCTCAAAAGCAGACCTCATCTCAGGCAAGATGGGCACCAGGCTGCAGAGAGGCCACTGAGGCATGGCCACTGAAAGAAGAAGGGCCTGTTTCTCCAGATGTGCAGTCTTGTCCTGTGACTGTGTGCTGCAAGGCCTCCTCACCTGCCATCTTTTATCACCCCCAGCCTTGTTCTTCAGTCTCTTAGGCCTCCTTTTCTGGATGTCAAAAATACCTTCTGCTCCTTTGACAAGGCAAATGTAGAAATAAAAGCATTAGCAGCAGCAGAGAGGAGGCTGGGTGGGTTCCACAGGCAGCCCTCAATTTCAGGAGAAAAGAATGTTCCGGAGAGGAATAGGGCAGGCTCAGAGCACCAAGGGCTGCCTCCTCAGCCTCCTCAGGATCTGACTGGCTTCACCTTTCTGGAGTTGTCCTGGGTGTTTGCTCACTTATGTTACCTTTTCAACCCAGATGCCTGCTCATAGGAGCTATGCCTCTGCCTGAGACCAAGACATTACAGGGCCCCTTTCCTGGTGGTGAGGACACCCCTGAGCTGGGTGGGAGTGGGCAGCCTGAATGGGAACCCCTCTCATTACTCATGACTTGCAGAGTCCACAGCAAACATATCAGCAAACACTCTGCTTCCCAGCCCAGGGGCCACTGGCCCAGGCAACTTGGGTTTGCATCCTGATTCTTCTATATGACTCTTATCTAATGTCTCAGCCTCTCCATGCCTCAGTTTCCCCAGTTATAGAATGAGGGTGAGATGGAAGTGATCTCCTGGGGTACTTATGAGGCTAAATGAGATGGCATACGTAAAGGACTCAGAGAAAGCAGTGTCTGGATCATGGAAGTTCTCACAGAGTGTTGACTGACATTATTTCACCATTTATGGAGCTCCTACTGTGTGCCCACCTTTTTAGACAACAGTGAGTGGACATAGATCTTCAAAGAAAGCAGGTAAGATGGGAGACAGAGAAGCAAGTGTGGTACAAAGAGGCAGACAAGGACAGTGAGGCAGGCAGGGCACATGCTGCAGGAGAGGGACCCAGGAGTCCAGGCCACATGCCCCAGTCAGCTAAGCCAAGTGCATCTGTGAAGGAAAAGAGGTGAGTACCCAACTCTGGACTAGCTGGATATAGGCTCTCGGGGGCTAGGTCAACAGGTTGGCCATGCTCCAGGGGCAGGATTGATGCAAAGTACACATGTGGCTCTGAAACATGGAGGCTTCTGACTCAAACCTCCCCCGTGGAAGGAACAGGTGGGTCTATCCTGGGCGGGGAGGTATGAGGCCCAACAAGGCCCTCCCTGACAAGGAAGGTAAGAGAGCACCAAAGCAGGGTTGTCATTCATGAGCCCAGAGATGACCAGGAAGGCACTGGGGCACCTTCACTGTCCAGAATATAGATTTGTGACTTTTTCATTTGGGCAGGGAGGCAAGGGTGGGAACTTTGGTGGCTGGAGGTTATTAAGGGCAGGATGCAGGAGCAGAAAGGGGGAAGATGGAAGAACTAGGATAAGTGGGGCCTCCTGAGGACAAAGTCACCTGCAAAAGGCCCTGCCTGGTTTCCACTATCCTCCTCGACCTCTTTCCAGCCTCTCCCCTTTATTGGGGGGAGAGGGACCAGGCTCACCCTGGTAGAGTGCTGTGGTGTCACAGCTCACAGCAATCTCAGACTCTTAGACTCAACCAATTCTCTTGCCTCAGCCTCCTGAATAGCTGGAAATACCAGTGCCTGCCACAATGCCCAGCTATTTTTAGAGACAGGGTCTGGATCTAGCTCAGGTTAGTCTCAAACGCTGAGCTCAGGTGATTCCACCCACCTCAGCATCCCAGAGTGGTGGGATTATGGGCATAAGCCACCATGCCCAGCCTCCTCTTACCTTGTTTGACCCCAGGGACAGGAGGCTTCTTCTGCAGTTCTGGGACACTGTCCTCAGAAACTGAAAGGCAGTTATCATCACTGAAAGGCAGTTATCATCATCAGGTCACAGACCGGTTCAAAGCAGGGGTGCAGTTTCACTTCTGAGCAGCTTCATTTCCCAGAAGCTTCACTTTGAGCAGTTTCACTTCTGAGTGGTTTCAACTTTTGCTTACAGACTGCAGGTCTTCTAAGAAGTCTTTGTTCAAGCCCTTCAGTCATTTATGTATTAATATCTTGACAGGTTTTCTTAACAATCTATCACAGTCACACACACATGTATAACACATATGTATAAATATACGTATATAAAATGTAAATGAGAAAATATATGTATATAAAATGTAAATGAGAGCACATAACTGTAAGTTCTATATAAAGATACCTATTTTATCTTTTTTAAGTTATACTTTTTAACATTCAATCTGGGAGAATTTTTTCTGATTTAAAATTCTTTTGTCATATAAACAGATCTTGGAGCTCTTCCTGTCTGTGGGCCAGTGGGCGGAGGTCTCCCCCTGCTCTGCTAATTCTTGCATCCTCAGCACCTGCCATGCTGACACCTAGCTGGTGCCAGTAACGTATGTTGATGACACTGACTATTCCTGTTATTCTTGATCTAAGAATAGCAATTTTCTACTTATGGAGGCTTTGTACTTAACTCTTAGCATATGCAAAACAAAATGGAGTGTTATGTGATAATATATTTCAACTTTATAGGCTATATTTCTTGAGTTTTAGCCTTTTCTTCCTTTACTTTCATATTTCTCTGAAAGAAGGATAAGATATGATCATTATTTCCTGAACCAACAGAGCTTGTTACCTTTTGACATGGTCCCTGAATTTCTTAACTTTCTTTGTAAGCAGCATGTATTGTGTTACATTATGGTGTGTGGCCATGAGAGATGACATTGGCCTCCCATCATTTTCCCAAACATTCTAAGGACATGTCATTAGGCACTTTTAATCATTGTGCGAACCCCAAGCACCTTACAAAGACTCCACAACATAACCCACTGTGCAACAGGCTGTGAGGTGTGGTCTGGTGCTCCTAGGCTACACCTGCACATCAGGGCACTGTGCTGAGTACTGCAGACAGTTGAAACATGGAATGTGGATGGTGGTGCCTGTGGCTCAAGGAGTAGGGTGCTGGCCCCATATACTGGAGGTGGTGGGTTCAAACCTGGCCCCAACCAAAAACTGCAACCAAAAAAAAAAAGAAAGAAAGAAAGAAAAGAAAAGAAACATGGAGCTAAGTATCTGTTTATCTAAGCACACATAAACACAGAAAGGGCACAGTAGTAATACAATGTAAAAGCTTTTTTAAGCAGTATACCTATACTTACCATGAATGGAGCTTGCAGGACTGGAAGTTGCTTTGGGGATTCAGTGAGTGAATGGGAAGGCTTAGTGACTTTATAAACTTAGGCTGCACTAAATTTATTTTAAAAAATCATACAGTGAGGCTCAGCACCCATCACACAGTGGTTACAGTGTCAGCTACATACACCAACGCTGATGGGTTCGAACCGAGCCTGCGCCAGATTAACAACAACAACAAATGACAACTGCAACAAAAAATAACGAGGCGTTGTGGCAGACGCCTGTAGTTCCAGCTACTTGGGAGGCTGAGGCAAGAGAATCGCTCGAGCCCAAGAGTTTGAGGTTGCTGTGAGCTGTGATGCCACAGTGCTCTACCAAGGGCAATAGTGAGATTCTGTCTCAAAAAAATAAAAAAATCATGAAGTGATTGCACTACAACCTTGCAGCTGCTACAATGTCACTAGGCATTTTTCAGTTCCATCATAATCTTATAAGACTGCGATCGTATATGCAGTTCTTTGTTGAAGAAAATGTCATTATGTGACATGTAACAATATTCACAAGTTTTGGAACAGGGTGTGTGACACACCACAGGGACGCATGGGAAAAACAAAGCAGGGCAGTGTGAACCATTTAGGATCAGCTAGGTTGAATAATTTTAGTGGGTGTTGGGCTACAGGAGTAGTCCCTAGTTGCCTGGAACCTGGCCCTGGGATGACTAAGGCAGAGAAGTATGTCCTCTATAGGTGTATACACAGGCCACAGGGAGAAGGTGGGCTCTGGACTGGTTGGTTTGCGTATCAAAGATGTGCTCTAGGTTGGGTCCTTATTACTCTGAAGAACTGGCTAGCTCAGGCCAGGTCGGGTGGCTTATAGCTGTAATCTCAGCACTCTGGGAAGCCGAGGCAGGTGGTTTCTTTGAGCTCAGGAGTTCTAGACCAGCTTAAGCAAGACTGAGACCCCATCTCTACTAAAAATAGAAACACTAGCTGGGCATAGGGGCATATACCTGTAGTCCCAGCTACTCAGGAGGCTGAGGCAGAAGTACCATTTAAGCCCAAGAGTTTGAGGTTACTGTGAGCTAAGACACCATGGCACACTACCCAGGGCACAGAATGAGACTCTGTCTAAAACATATAATGTAATATAATATAATATAATATAATACAATATAATATATAATACAACATAATATATAAATGAAATAATTGGCTAGCACTGAGAGATGTAGTCTCACCCCAGCAAAAAAAAGTATTTTGTTTTGCTTTGTTTCTATGTGTGATCACATCCTAAGATACAGAAAATTTAAAAATTACATTATTTACAATACACAGTTCCTGTGTTGCTTCCACCATAAAAGTGACACAGGCCCCCAGCAGTCTGAGAGTTGTCCCAAGAACAGACTCTTTGGCTCCAGGCCAAGTCCACCACTCCACAGCCTCCTTCCACCTGATCCCCCTCAGGGGACACTCACACACAGCCCTGAAAGCGAGTTCATCTGGCAAAGCAAACACAAATGTAAATCTCCTCCTTCCTTCAGAGTCTAGAAGGCCTAAAGGCATGTGACAGAAAACCCAAAAGGCCTCAAGCACTGCACAGAAGACACATCTCCCTGCCAGACATAAACCAGCAGAGGAACTTGAAGACTCCCAATTTCACACACACCCACGAGCAGATCCAGTGTCACACACACACTCACACACAGATCCAGTGTCATACACACACTCACACGCAGACTCCCACTCTCACACATGCAGATCTAGTCACAAACACTCGCACACAGACTCCTGCTGTCACACAGTGTCACACATACTCACATGCAGACTCCCACTTTCACATATACTCACATGCAAATCCAATGTCATATACAAACTCACACACAGCTCCAGTGTCACACACACACATTCACATGCAGACTCCCACTCTCACACACACTCACTCGCAGATCCAGTCACAGATACTCATACACACATACCCACCCACAGATCCTTTGTCTCTCACACACACTCACATGCACACATAGTCACAACACACACGTTCACACACACACATGTGAGTGCTAAGATGAAATGGAGGGAAGTGCTTATGGAAGTCTAGGCCAACAGACATTATGAAATGGGAAAACTTCATGAAATAAAAGAAAACTTCATGAAATAGTGAGATGTAAAATTTTTACAGAGATGTAAAAATGAGATGTTAAAAAATACAAGGAAAGAGAAGAAGACATGGGGTAGGGAGAGGTAGACAGGGAAGCACCAGAAGCCCCACCCTGCCATCCTTCTTGACCTGAAGCAACCACCCACCTGCAAGATGATTAAGAAAAGAGAAAAATCTAAGACTGAAACTGCAGGCTCCATTTGCACCAAAGCTTAGAATTGCCCATGGTACAATTAGATCCAAACAAGCAACATGTACATAGCCCCAAAAATCATTAAGGTGATCTTCAGATCTGATTAGATTCAACAGTAGAATGTCCTGAAGTAGCTGAGGTTGTGGTAGCCAGGGGCACGTCACAGGTGAAGAGTCCTGGCTGCCTACAAGTAGCTCCTCAGGACAAATGGGCACCTACCACATTTTTGGAAAAGACATTGGAATTTCTAGTCTACACAATCACATGGCTCCCCTTAGACTGGACTTCCAGTCCTAGAATGCTGACCACCATAGATGAGAAAGAAATGGAAAAATGGAAGCAGGACCAGACTGTGCAGCATCGGGGATAGGCAACTTCCAGGTCATCAGTCCCACACCCAGCAAATGACTTCAGCAGGAGTCAGAGAGAGCTCAAGTTCTCCAAGGCACTAAGATGTTTAGAATATCTGTTTCATCTGGTGCTTCAAATTCAGTGCTACAGCCAAGATTTCACTCAGACAGCTAAGGAACACCTAGCTTTTCTCCAGAAGCTCCAAGACTCAATCCCAGTTACTAACTGCAGCCCCAAACATCCTGACTGGTCATAATACAGGTGTACATTTGCACATGGATGACATCCTTCCTCCTGTACTGATAGTCTGTAGGGAAGTGTGATCTTTGTTAAGCACAGCTGTGCACACCCAGCAGCATGCTGTCTGCTGGCTCAGTTTACTCTCATGCACCCTCAGCAAGTCCGTCTATATCCACAGCCTGAACCTACCCAGTGATCCAACAGGCAGGTCAGCCAGGCTGTCACCAACCCCTGGTAGCTCACAACCTTTGTCCATTAGCCAGTGTAATATTCAGAATATTTCAACAGAAGCAAAAAGTAAAAACCAGAGTGAAATCATACTTGAACTTTTACAAAGAAATAATTCTTTACAATGGCATTCCTCTGGACAGCGGCCAGACTGTAACAAAAACCACCCTGTTGTTCACATTCCCGTCGGGTCCCAGTACTGATGAGACAATGCTCCACACCTAGCAACAACCTGTTGTTTCAGCTTAAGCAACTGAAAGGTGAGCAGGTCACACAGAATCAGCCCACACTTTTCATCTCCACAAATTCCATCTATAGCATCTTCTGTCTTTATAAATATGTCCTGGCAAGTACTGATGGTCTCTTCTGTTATTCACTATAATCCTCCAAAATGTCATGGAGTGGGAGCCACTCTGTAGCTTCTCCTCAAGACATGATTTCCCAACCCAACGCAAAACTTCTTTTCAAAATTGGAGTTTCTGGGAAGTCATGGTGGCTCATACCTGCACCCCAGCACT